GGTAATAAATTAAGATTTATGTCTTGTTATTTTCCAAAAGATGTATGAGGAAAGAGCTTTGCGGTTGAGATGACAGGTTATTTTTTAATTTTGATCGGAATCAGCAACAAAAGCTGCTAACTTGCCAGTAACTGCCATTCCATACTTCCGTATGAAATCAGATGCCAGATTTCCTGGTCAAAACCGCAAGTTCCCGCTTTTTCTTGGCCATTCTGGGATGGAACCCAAGAAAATGTCATTCATGTCTTATACATACTAATGAACTCCACCAGTATTTCCTCCAATTAGACATAGCACCCACAGAAATCTTAGGGTACCCAGCCCAACTATGGGCAAGTGGTTGAACATCTGGCACACTTTGGTGCCAAAAAGAGTATTTAGGCCCAGGAAACTGGGAGAAATCCCATCGCTCACAGGACCCACTTCAGAGTGTTTATCTTTTAAGGTCAGAAACCAAATACCTCTATTTTATCTTTGTGTTTCTATCTGCATCTTTTATTTTGCTTAAGTTTTGCTTTTAGGTATCTCACCCACCACCTGCTCCAAGGCCTTTCAGGTGAAGGGAGGCTGGTCCTTCCACACCCAGCCTTGGGGGCATTAAGATCCTCTGTATACCTAGATAAGTTTTAGTTTGATTTTGTTAATGCCATCTGGGGAAGGTATTCAGTTAATCTGTGTTCTCGTTGCCATATTTGTTATGGTTGTTATAATTGTAATCCCCTTGGCAATAAAATTGTTTTCTATTTCATTTCCTGAGTTGAAGTGTGATTGCCATCGATCGCCTGCTGGCCCTCATGAAGGGAGTCTTATGGTTCCACCCCATTGTAACCTGGGAGAGAGCACAAACTAAGAATTTCTGATCAGACTAGCGAGCCTGACCCATCTAAATGTCACTAGAGCTCCTTCCTAGGCTACAGGGCATAAGCTTATTTCAAAATAGTTATTTCCGGAGTTATTTTGAAATAATTTCCCAGTATAGCCTGGCGGGAAGCAGGGCTGGCCGGGAGGGGGTCGTGGGGAGTGGGGCCCGGGGGGGAAGAGCTGTGGGGAACTGGCTGGCAGAGAGGGGGTCTGGCCGGGAGGAGATAGGGGGGAGAGAATTGGCCAGCAGGGAGCAGGGCTGGCCCGGGCGCACGCACATCCCGGGGTGCTGCCCGTCTCGCGCATGGCCCCGGCAGAGTGCATGAGCGAGTCCGGCCCTGGGGATTCCATCCCGCCCCACTCCCCTCCTCTCTACTGCGTAGTTGCGTACTGCCTAGCTGGTAGACACGCAGCGTGACTCACAGAGTGTGAGCGTGTCCACCAGCCAGGCAGCATGCAACTACATACTGATACTCATAATAATAAAACTTACTTAATTAGAAAATACTGGACATTTATGTGTCCGGTATTTTCTCAATTTCTTTCCCGGATAGAAAGCTTAAATACCGGACTGTCCGGTTCAAAACCAGACACCTGGCAACCCTACTTGGAGTACAAGAGTTTAAGAAGAAGAGGAGTGTTAGGAGTGTGACCATTACTGCACCAACATCTCAGTTAGGGATATAATTCAATGTAATTTTTCATTCATTTTCCTGCTTTGGATCACAGAGTGCACACTTCACATCATCAGATTCTAGGCAGCCCTCTCTGTACTATGGCTGAGGTGGGCAAGGTTGGAACCCTTCAGCTTGTGTGAGGTTGTTCTGGAGGACGACGTCTCCATCCACCTGTCCTTATTGAATTCCATCCTATTTATTTCAGAACATTTTTCCAATTTTTCAAGTTACTTTGAATTCTAATCTTGTCCTCCAAAGTGCTAGCAATCCCTCACTGTGTGGTAACATCATTCACAGAATTTATCCATGTTCTCACTATGCCAAGATCCAAATAATTTATGAGGCTATCAAACAGAACTAGACCCAGGACAGATTCCAGTGGGACCCTACTTGATACCCCTTCCAGCTTGATTGTGAACTACTGATAACTACTCCCCAAGTAGAGTTTTCTAACCAGTTTGCATTTGCATTATAGTAGATCTGTTTAGACTATGTTTCCTTTCATTTCCAGGCTCCTTCCCTGTTCACAATCTGCCTTCTGCTCCCTCCTTAGCCAGCCCCCTGTTCCCAAAGACTCTCTCTTTAAGGCCTCTAGCTCCTTAGAAAGATAATTTCTGCTTAGTCCAGCTATTGGATCCCACCAACTGTAGCAGACAATAACGGCTTTGCTGTATTATGCAAAAATGTATGCAAGAATTGACTGCAAAGTCGTCAACGCCCAGCAGATAGACAAGTGAACCTGCAATATTTATTTGTGGTGGGAAAGTGTGCTGTGAGCAAAGCAAATCATTCAACTGTGAAGGAGTAAAGTGAGATAGTCAAATGTCATATGGAGGAAAGATAGATACAGCACAGTTTGGGAAGAGAATGACCCCCAAAAGTGATGCATAGTGAGAGACATTTTAGGTTCACCCATATTATATCGTAAAACATTGCAAGTGGCAAAATATGGATCGTTAGTATTTCCGAAAGGCACTTCTTTTGACCTGCTCTTGGAATCATCATATTCTATAACTACAAACTCTGGAAATTAAAACAAAGGGAACGAGAGTCTGTTTATATTGATATTCAAACACCTAGACTATTATTCAAATACTTTTTTGGGGCTCGATTTTTCTTGATCAGTGTTTGAGTCGCTGTATTCCTTGTGTAGATTGATTTTCACTCTGTCCCCCACTGTAAAACAACATTCCATTCAGTTTACACAAATCCATCTCATGCATACCGGACAAAGGCTCTGGGAAATAACATCCCACTATTTAATTTTTCCTGGTACTTCAGTGAGTAACAGAATCTACAATAAGAAAATATTGTCTGTGTAGCATATAGTGGCATAGATCCATACATAAAGTTCTTGCTAGATACCTCTAGACCATGACAAACTGAGAACATTCCACCCCAGAACAATATACTGGCACTGCCTGGCAGATCTAATACCCAAAGAAGAGCTCTGTCTAGTTTGAAAACCTGTCTCTTTCACCAACAAAAGTTGCTCCAATAAAAGATATTACCTCAGCCACTTTGTCAGATCTATGACAAACATCTGGAGATAAAAATCATAACATCTATTCATATGGTGAATCTACATCCATATACTCTAAGTAACTGGAAACTTTTTCAGAAAAATAAGTCCTGAATCTTCACCAAATGCAGTAAACACATTTGAACTGAACCATTTTAAGGTTCCAAAGTTGTGAAAGGTTGTAAGTTCTTTCACTTAATGGTTTCCAGCCACAAGTGCCACAATACAATGAAAAAGACTGTTCTGTGATATTTTCAGCTGGGAGTGGAAGTAGACATGTAATAAATCTCACAAAGAAAGTCTGTTCTTTCTGAGATTTCTACCACAATTTTGCAGACTCAGGACATTTTATTTTAGCATCTGAACTTTTGGCTGCTTATCTGAACTATTTGTGGGTCAACCATCGCTGATCTATACTTCTTGCTGAATTGTGGTTTGGCTTAATATTTTTTAAAGAGTTGCTTTAGGAAATTAGAGTAAAAGTTATAAAGCCTACAAATCTGGGAATGCATATCATTTAAAACTATCTACCTAAATGTTCTCAAAAAAATATGCCTGGTACAAAGAGGAGAGAGGTGACATGCAAACATAAAATCGGTGGTCACAGAGCCAGATTTGTAGAGCACTCTAAGCTCCTGCTAATTTCAGGAAATTGCTACTGGTCAGAACTCCGAATATTTTATGTAAGCCCCCAACAGAAGGATCCAATATGAAAATTTTGGCCTGTATTTTTTTGTGATTCATGTAATCCTGTTCCTTTTATTCTTTTCACAAATCTAACTAAACACATTGTTGGCAGAGCTGCTGTTGAATTATGCCAGACACAGTAGCAAACATTTGGAAATCATTAATTTGTTCGCTTACTTCCATTAGCTGAAAAGGTAATAAGCCCATTATTTAGTATTACATTTTAAAACAGTCACAATAAAAAAAAAATGTTTTCAGCACAGGCAAATTCATTTCTAGGCTCTCATTTAACATATATAAATACAGTAAAATTTAAAAACATAACTCTAGATTCCAAAGTTTCCTTCCCAGCATGCAAACTGTTTTTATTGATTTTAATTTTTTAAGATAAACATTCTCAGCTATTAAAAAAGCCACACACTTAATCCTGCAGAAATGAAAATGTCAGGCTTAGAGAAGAAAAAATAGATCCCTAGTTGCTAAAGATGCGCTTCATTGAAGTCAATGAGGCTATAGCAAGTTAAGCCATCTGAGGGTCTGGCCCAGCATGTTCTCAATAGGCTACCGTAGTTAAGCTTTTCTATCTTTGAGGATAAAATGTTTTTTTTTCTTTCCCACACATAAAATATCACTTGAATTTTACAAGGAATCCAGCTCTATATGCTAGAAAAACAAACATAAAAAGGCACTCTGTGGTTTACAATATAGCAATAGGATACACTTTAGCTGTTAACTTCTGGATTACTGGCGAAGAAAGTACTTGAACATTATCTTGAGTGAGTAACAAATTCCTTGAAAATTTTAAATATTCTAGGATGCAATGAGACATTCTCCTAAAAAAATGGTACTAGGTTCCTTTTATTTCATGGCAGTTATTAGACTGTGGAGAACTGGCAAGCAATATTGCTTTCACAAGATGATTTCCACAATATTCCATTGCAGCACTAAGATTCTCTCTCAAGAAATCTATTTGACCAGGAAGGCTTGCTCTGGAGTTTGTAATTCAGATCTTAGTAAGAGTCTAATCATTCCTGCCAATTATGAAGAAGTGATGTAGGAGCCAGCTTTAACTGAGCATCTTTTCCTACTCTTGGCTAGGTAATTCCTAAAATTTAAGACATACCAACTTTTGAAGAGCAGGAAAGCCTCTATGTCATCAAAATGAGTCATACGGAATCAATAA